TCTCCAGTATCCGGAAGAGGTGCTCGCTGTCCTCCATGCTCGGCACGACCTACGGCAGGGCACGCTGGGGCCAGGTTCCCAGGGCAGCTGGCCTCGAGGACCCTGCTCTGAGAGACCTGGGCCCGAGCCCGCACTACCATGCACCAGCCACAAAACCTGCACCGAGCCGCCTGGCTTCTCCGGGCCTCCCCGGGCCTGTGTCTCAGCTCAGGCCGGGAGGGGGTGCTGCGGATATTAGCCCAGGGGGCCGCCAGGAGGGTCCCGTGAGCGAGGGCTGCACCAGGCACTTGGTCAGTGCTCCGTAAGTGGAGCTATAACCGCAAGCTGGCCTTGGTGAGGATGGCCCGCGCCCGAACCCCCTGTGACCTCAGACAACACCTGCTCCTCTCTGAGCCTCGTTCCTGCTCCGAGAAGCCAGGAGCTCATCGCCATGGTGCAGTGTGACTAACTTTCCTCAGGGGCCGAGACTGTGCCCTGGGCAGGAGGGCGGGCAGCTCGGTCTGTCTGCCACAGGCACCCCAGGCTCGGCGTGGGTTGGGGTCGGTCGGAGGCTGTGGGACATCACCGCGTCCTCATCCCACAGGACCCTGCAGGACGGCTGGGAGGTGCTGCCCCCTGGTGGCCATGAGGAGCGGTGGGACACTCACGCACGCCCTCACGCCCACTCTCATGGATCCTCACACTCACCGACACTATGGAGTACACCACCAAACCCGCCAGCCCCATGTCTGGGTCCTTGGCCAGCACGGAGAACACCACGGAGCCGACTGGCAGTGTCTGCAAGGAGGGTTTGTCACCGTGAGCTCAAGGCTGCCCCTTGCTCCCTGGCCAGCACCCTGCAGGCCTGTTTTTCTCTACGGGCCTGATGACCTTCCCACCTGGGCTGAGGCCCTGCAGGCAGCTGGGGAGGAGTGAGCTGAGGACCAGGGTCCCCACTCCCCACCTATCCCCACACAGCCCTCTACTCAGGTCAGGACCAGGCTGAGGGGTCGTTCTCCAATCCAACAGGAGACATCGGTGGGCTCTGCAGCCTCATCCATGGGCTTCAACAGCATCCACAGGGCCAGAAGGTCCTTCTGAGAGGCCTTTGCTCCTGGACTGCTGTCACACCCTTGCCGCTTGCAAATGGCAGCCAAAGAAATCTTGTGAAACCGTGACTCGGTCTACAACCCTTACATGTAAACGCTCCCAGGGTGCTCCGTTCTACCAGAGCATGGTCCAGACTGCGTCCATAGTCCTCCGAGGTCAGGCCACAGCCTCTGACCCCATGTCCTCCTCAGCCTAACCCTCCAGCCACACCTGCCAAATACATCCCACCCCAGGGCCTTTGCATCTGCTGTTCCCCTGCCTGGAACAACCTTTTCCTGGAGCTTCCCATGACCAGCTCATTCTTGCTCTCAGGCCTCTGGATGTCACCTGCTCAGAGACTCCTTCCCCGACCTTGTAGCCTAACACAGTCCCCCCGCAGTCACCCCCCCACTTCGCCTCGTTTGCGTTCTTCACAGAGCTCGCGGCCAGCTGAAACCGCCCTGCCGGCCTCACTGAGTGCCTCTGCGCTGCTCACTAGACGCCAGCTGCCGGTGGGGTCGGACTGATCTGCACTGGGCATCAGGTGACATCCGCAGGACGGTGCCTGGCACGCCAGTGCTCAACCAGAGCCTGTCTGATGACTGGCCCTCGCCAGCCACTGTCTGGCCCAGCACCATGGTACAGAGCTGAAACGTGATGCTCAGCGGGTCACTGGTTCAAGTCTGAGACCTCCCTGAACCCCCTCCCCCCCCACCGTGTGCCGTGACCCCGTGCCGTCTGCAGCTGGGGACAGATTGTGGCAGCGAGGCCCTGACAGGTGCTGACTCTCGCCCTCTCCTTCCATCCCTCAGGAGAAACGAACAGGGTTGCTGTACCCCATGGTGCTCTGCTTCCCCTTCTGGGAGGCTCTCCCCTGTCCTGGGTGCCGCACTGACTGCCTCTGGCCTTCTCACTCTGAGAAGGACTTTGGGTGCCCCCCACCCCGCGAGGACCGCAGCTACCTCATTGATGCTGGTGGAGAAGTCCGTGTTCTGGAAAACGGGCACGTTGTCATTCCTGTCATCCACGATCACCTGCATCTCCTTAGTCACCTGCCAGCGAGACAACCCAGGTGAGCGCCAGTGAGGCGGCGGCGGGACCCCACGCCCCCGGCCTCCTCACACGGATGCCCCATCGCTGCTGCTCCCTCCTGCTCCAGGAGGCTTCCTGAGCCGTTCGGAAGTGAGATGCAGGCATCGTTGGGTAATGTCTTGTCTTCTTAAGTTTATGTATTTCTTCTGTGCGTGAGGGAAAGGGAGCCACACCCCCACAGGGTCTTCATGTCACGCCCCACCTCAGCCTCAGCCAGCCTTGGTCACGGGCATGCACGAGGGCAGGAGGCCTTGGGACGTGACCCCAGGACTGCCTGTGTGGGCCCAGCCCTGCATGGGGCTGCACTGCCCCGGCCGCGTCGGGCCCACCAGACGTTTCAGAAATCTTAAAGGCACCTGCCCTATTACAGGAGTGTGCATTTCAGTCCTACGTGCCGTAACAGGAAGCTTAAGGGTCCGCCAGAGCTAAAGAACCATGGTAGTACATGCATATAGAGGCATGCGAGCGATGCGTGTACACATATACATACACGTGTGCATGCGCACACATCCATACATCTGCATACCCATGCACATATACACGCACATGTGTACATGTGCACACATATATACATGCATATACATGTATACATATTATATATAGTATGCATCGTGATGGGACTTCATGCTAATTCATCTAAAAATTTTAAAACCCAGGAAAAAAATAAAGAACCATGGCAAATGCCCACACTGGACACATCTTTGTAAGGACAGGACTCGTGTGCACAGGCCCAGAAAGAGCACCGGCCCAGTCCTAGAGTGGGCAACAGTCCTAGAGAGGGCCAGTCCTAGCTTCAAGACAACAGATACGGCGCAGTCCCCTTGGGGGGTCTCAGAAAGTGCACTGAACATCACACTCTCCTCCCACGGATTCATGGAGGCGCGTGGCCACTCGGTGAGGGCGTGGAAGGAGCGGGCTGGGAGCAGTCCGTGGGGACCTCCACTTGGCCTGCAGTTTTCGAAGGTTACACAGACAGTGTGGTTACGAATGCCCAAGGGGTGTGGCCGTCATTCGAGGGAGTAGGGAATAAGTTAGCAACAGACTGTCCACTTGCGTGGACACGGGACACACTGGCCCAAGCATGTCGTTTAAACCATGGGCCCAGCCACGGTGATGGGCAGTGACACCAGTCCCCCACAGGCTGGAGGCCACATGCCAGACGAGGGTTGGGATCCCTGGGTGGGGACTGGAAACATGGTGGCGTGTGCAGGTGGACCCCTGACTTCATGAGAAGTTGGAGAGCTGGGGAAGGGTGACTGGCAAGGCGAGACCCTGCAAGGGAGCCTGTCTCTCACTCTCTCGTCTGCGTGCTCCTCGTCACTAACTGTGTGTGTGCACGCGTGTGTGTACGCGGTGTGTAAATGCTGATCTCTTCAGCGAAAGGAACTGGAAGTGATTGCCTCTGAAGTGCTGGGGATGTACTTGGTGCTTGTTTTTCATTGATATTTGCATTAATGCAAGTTAATAACAATTAATGTTCTACTTATAGGGACCAGCAGTTGGCATAATGGCTATGTCGCTGGACTCCCATGTAGTTAACTGCAGCTCGAGTCCTGGACCCAGTGGCTTAAACTCATGCCAGGCACATGTGCGTGCCCAAGATCCCGAGAGGAGAATGGAGGAGAAGGGATTGCAGCATGGCCATCCCCCCTGGGGGGTGATTTCTCGCTTTCTGTCTCTCTGCCTCTCTCTGTCTTTCTGGCAAGCACACGTGCCCTATAGCAAAAACCTCTCCAATAAATAAATAAAATTCTACTTATAATATAAAGAATATATTTCTATGTACATAAAACAGACAATAGAAACCACGTGTTTATACACTAATAAATACTAAAATCTGAATAACGTGGGAGAGCACAGTTTTGATGAGGAAACATGAAATCCATTGTTACCTGGGGCCCCTCTGCTTGCCCGGGGTGAAGCACAGTCCAGAGTGGGTGCCCCGGCTGTCCCCACCCCTGGACCCCGGCCCGCCCTCCCCTGCCTTCCAACTCACTGTGCTGTGGCCATCGTTCACGGAGATGGTGATGCTGAAAACGGGGAGGGTCTATAGGGGCAGAGAGAAGGCCAAGGTCAGCCCTGCATGGGGTGCAGGTTCCCAGGGGCAGCCCATCTCCCTCCCTCTCCCCGGGTCCTGCCACCCCCTACCTCGAAGTCCAGAAGACTGGCCAGTGTCACTTCACCGGTGTCTGAGATGACCTCAAAGTAGTACATATAGAAGCCACTAATCCCATAGGTCAACTTGTCGTTGTCTTCATCTTCGGCCACCAACCAGAAGGCCTCGTGACCTGGAGAGGGGACAGGAGCTGCCCAGGGTCCTCGGCCATCTATTCCAGACCAGGCTGGCCGAGCTCCCCATGAGGCCGAGTTGGGGTCATGGCCTCTCTGCACGCAGGGTAGACCTGAAATCCGGGTTCTCCCCAGCCCTCGAGCCCCAGGCCTGTGGCCGTGGACATGAGCATGGGGTTGGTCCCCAGTGGGCACGGTGGGGGGGCAGACCCCAGGCCTGTGGCCGTGGACATGAGTGTGGGGTTGGTGCCCAGTGGGCGCAGTGGGGGGGCAGGCCCCAGGCCTGTGGCCATGGACATGAATGTGGGGTTGGTGCCCAGTGGGCACAGTGGGGGGGGCAGGGCCCAGGCCTGTGGCCGGGGAACGCGGAATGGGG